CTAGAAAGGAGTGCGGGCCTGAGTTGCAGGGATTACCATTGGGTAAGCGCTCTCTTTCAAAGATGCGTGTGCCAGCTTCTTTTCTCCAAAGTGGGCGTTGTATGGCTTGACTGCGAGAGGGGCATGCAGCGCTTAGAGTAAATCACACGGCCTTCCAGAAAAAGAGGGTCCAATTTTGCACCCCGAATTGCTCGGTGTTCTCCTTGAATGGACCACGCAGAATCCCCAAGAAAACCTCTGTAATCTCCTTGTACATGTACTCAAGCAATAGATAATAATAGATACTTAGGATTTGGGTAATAGTAATTATGGTACAGGTTTTGGGCTAATATGATTATTGGGTACTTGGACCCTTTGGGTTAGGCGCATTTGTTAAGGTTTAGATGGGTTCAGGGTTTGGGTTCAACCACCAAAAAAAGCGCTACTCATCTGTTTTTATCTGAGGAGTGCCTCGCATGGATCCTTCTTCTGGAACTGGAAGGAGGATCCTGAGAACAAGGACAGATGGATTGCTTAGGAGGACCCCCCACCCAGTAATAGTGACTCGAAGAGAAAAAAAAGGATTATATTAGAGTCCTCTTATATTCCTACTATACCACTATTACAGGGTGGGGGGTCCTCCTAATGAATTGCCATCAATCCCGCGCGGTTTAGGGTCTAGGGACCTAATGCCGATATGAGCTATGGTCTAAAATTCCTCAAAGGGGGCTATATAGGGGAGTATTATAGGGACATCAAGGGGTAGATTTGGAGTTTAGACTATAGCCTGGCCCCCAATATGTCAGGTGTCTTAAATGTCCAGGCTTCTTTTTATCAGGCTGAGTATGGAGGGATTCCTACTCCAGTTACCAGTAGCAATGTGCGAACGGACCATGATTATTTTCATGGTGATTCTGGCTGCAAGTACTATACTCCCATGGATACCACCAATGAAGTCGCATGAGCTATAGTCTAAACTCCTTCAAGGGGGTTACGTAAGGGATTATATCGGGGAGTATTATAGGGCTTAGTAAGGGGGATACTAGGAGTTCATACTGTAGCCATTCCATATTGAAGCGCACTTTTTACTTGGTGATGAGTAGGGGATGGACGAAACCGGCTTTAGCTTGAGTTATTCCGTAAGACTTACCACAAAAACGGTACTATGAGTTATAGTGGCCGCCTTTAGAAATCTTGTAAGGACAGTTGTTGGGAGAGGGAATTACCCAAGCGATTGTACATAGGGACTACTTTTTTGCTACTCCCTAAACCCTAAACCCAAAATCCCTAAGCTCTTAACCCTATTCCCTAGACCATGGCAGAGTGATGCTTGTTCTAAGAGCATATGGCTGCTTATTGTCAGGGATGCTGGGTATCAAAGACTTTCAGTTTGCACCCTTAATGTTTGTACCCCTAGGTTTTGGGTTCCAAATACCCTTATTAAAAGCCATATTCCATGTTAGGGACCCAAAGCCCAGAAGTACGAACCAAAAGGTACAAAGGAAAGCTCCCTGAGGGCAAGGGATGTTGGATCATGGCTCGCAGTATCCAGCTGCAACTCTTAGACCCCAAAGTTTTCAAACCACAAGACCTATGCCAAACTCCTGGGTGTCCATACCCCCAAATCCAGATATCTACCCAGCCCAAACCACAACCCCCCCCCTACCATGAGGTTTACGCACTGCAGTTCCACCGCGCATGCTCTCCTAAGGTCCTAAACCTTACGAGCTAAACTCTAGATCCTAACCATGCTATCATCTAGGGGTTATAAGACTAGGTACTCCAGTAGTCAGTCGCCTTTTCCACTTTTTTTTCTTTCGGGTCTCCTTACTAAAGCTGAAAATAAAGAGGGTACCCTTCTTATTTAGCGGTTACTGAGGAACCTAGAAAAGGCATGCACTATCGGTATATGATGGGTACAAGACAAGTTGACGAGCATTCAGAACATAGGTACATAATGGATATGTTAGTTCCTCAAGAAAGGTACCCCTGATCTTGGGAAATCCCTAAACCCTATATGACCACTATAACCCTTATATAACCCCTACAAAACCTTTTAAAGATACCCCTAATTTTGGGAAACCCCTAAACCCTATATAACCACTGTAACCCCTATATAACCCCTACAAAACCTCTCAAAGGTACCCCTAACCCTAAACCCCTAACCCTAAACCCTAAACCCTAATCCCTAAACCCTAAACCCTAAACCCTAATCCCTAAACCCTAAACCCTAAACCCCTAAACCATGTGTTAACCAGGAGTGGCACTTCCAGCAGCTGAACGACCATGGCTTCCTTTCGCGCTCTCCGTTGGCGCTGCCTGCCTGGGATCATCAAGGGGAAGATCCTCTTGAGGCCCGCTTTGGGGTAATCCCTTTTGAAGGGTTTGATAGGGCATCTTTAGGGATATATATATATATATACATATCCATATTATATATACATATATATGTGTATATATACGTACATATGTATAGGACTTAAAGCAAGTACCAGTCGGGGAGGACCAAAACTGAACAACATTGACAACCAGGCTGAAGTTGGGCCCTAATCCTATTGATGGGGGCTCTCTGTGCAAGGCAAACAGTATAGCATTTCAGGGCTTTTGATGGCCGCAAACTCTACAGCTTCGACAATAAATAGCACTCAGGCTAGAATCTCAAAATCTACGAGTCTTTGCGGGTTATCAGGCTGGACAGGTGTTGTTGTTTTTGAAAAGCATGCAAGCAGCTGCCAAATAACGGTCTGCTTCAGCAACTGCACTGGTGTTCCCTTCGCCCAATGACTAGGGAAGCTTGCAGGGGGTAGTATAGGGTGGCTAGGTAAAACACAATACCCAATCCATTCCAAGACTGGTCTAGGGCGCGGCATGTTCAAGCAAGTGGCTTATGTCTCAGTACAGCCATGTGTAAACCAAGGAACGCAAAGACTCATCAGCAAATCGTACCTGGGTAGGCCTTTGGGTTCCTTAACTATTTTCCTTGATTAGCTTTATAGGGATCCATCTACACGAATATTTTTCAAGGGTCTCTAAAGGCCAACCAAGTTACAACAGTCCACACATCTTGCGCCGGGCCTCTGATTGTGGGTATGCTGGAGGTGCTCAGTTTTTGTACACTAGGATCACCTCTGTTCAGATTTGTTTTCTTTAGTTAGCAGCGTTCTCAGGCAACAGTCATGTCAGGCCATGTCTACATTCTTTGAGGCATGTCTCGCTATGGCAAAAAATTCCGATGTCTTGGCGAAATGCGAATGCTCATGAGATGCTGCATTTGTAGTCAACTCCCTTGAGACAGCTCTCATATGCTCGAGAACCCCGAGTCCTGAGACCACAAATGGTTTTGGTTTGTGCTGATGACAGATTCGTTTTCCAGGAGCTGCTGCATCCTTCGCCAGAAGACCCCATCATATACTACGGCCACTTTGCTGAAAGTTAGTCAGGCTCCGCGGGCGGACCTTCCGGTATACATCGAAAGAGCAGATAAGCTAATATCTCACATGCAGAATGAGAATTGTTCAATGTGTCTTAGTAACAGTCACAGCAGCCAGAGTACGAGTAGCATTTTAGATAAGATCTGTTGCAGGGATCAGCGACCATACTGTCAGCCATGCTCACATGCAGCTCTCTTCACAGTTGCAGAGAGTCCGATAGCAAATGAGCTATAGTCTAATATCCCCCCTAGAATCCTCCCCTACATAATCCCCTTCATAACTCCTCTTCAAGGAGTTTAGACTAGAGCTCAAATCAAGGTGACGTCGTGCACCTTCGTGTCTTTCATGGGCGATATGTCGACGTGCAGGGAAAGTCTGCCGGATCCCCAGGTCCCAGCAGAATATAGGGGTTTCCCAAAATTAGGGGTACCCTTTTTGGGGGTCTATATTGGGGTCCCCCTGTTTTGGGAAACTACCATATGAGCTAGAATCTAAACTCCCTAAAGAGGCTTATATGCGGTTTAGGGTTTACAGTCTAAACTCCTTAAAAAGGCTTATTTAGGGTTTAGGGTTTAGAGTCTAAACTCCCGAAAGAGGCTTATATGGGGTTTAGGGTTTAGAG